CCCCGATTTTGTCACTATGTAATTTTACACACACACACACACACATACACACTGAAATATCACACCCTTTATCCCATAAATATGTAGCTATTAGGTGAATAAAAAATTTAGTATGTTTAGAGAGACAGAAATGTTATCTACCCTAATTTTATTATTACAGTGTATGCTTGTATCAAAATATCAAACTTTACCTCATAGAAAATTTCTACAATTAAAATAAAAAATTTAAAAACACACAAGGTTATGCATATTGCAATTAACCAGTAGTGCAAAGATTCAAACTGTTGCTTTCTTAAAGCCATGATGTATAGAAAACATCTGGCCAAGTGGTAGGCTTGTGAGATGAAGATTCCTTGCACATGGAGGCTATGGTTAGAGGACAATGTAGGTCCCAGGTAGCCTGCACTAGCATTAAGAACAACTACTGGGCTTTGTGTGAGGCATGGCATCGCACTATGTGCATAATAACCTGGAACAAAACCTTTAAAATAACTTCCAGGTCTGAACTTTAGATCCATTCCCAGTAATGAAATTAAAGATGATTAAATTGCATTACCTTGGTTGGTGAATGCTCCAAAGGACAATGATCATATTCCGCAAAACTGAAAGGCGACTGTAGAAATGTGAGGCTTTGGAGAATGGCTAGTCTTAAAACTGTTCCCTATCTTGGGCTGGGGATTTAGTTCAGTGGTGATGCGCCTGCCTGGCAAGCTCAAGGTTCTAAATTTGATCCCCAGGACCAAAAACAAAACAAAACAACAAATCAACTTGGTATTGAAAAAAACATTGTTCCCAATCTCAAGAAATATTACTGTGCTGACAACAAAGTCAAACTGGAAGAAATGGACAATAAACCAAAATTCTATGAAGAAATGACAAGTAGAGAGCTGTGGTCCACAACAGTTGGTTAAAGATCTATAGGAATGTAACAAATGTGTACCTAGTGTTTAACTGTTAAAACCTTATTGCAGAATGGCATTTTCCAAAGTAAGTACAGTATAATGTTAGTACATGCCATATAAAACAATCCTTTCTCAAACAGTCTGGAAATCAGAGGATTACCTGAAGTTAAGGAGCTCCTCTAGAGTAGTACTAATGCGTGTCACACACCCTAAAGGCAGCAGGGCAAAGGAAGCCGCATTTCTATAATCAACTTGACTGTACAACTACGCTTTGCGCAGTGTTTCTTGTGATTACTAAAGTAGAGTTGGTGATTACTTTTAATGGAATGAACGTGTTTTAAGAACTGCTACTCAAAAGTAACCACCAACTCTACTTTAGTATTTTTTAAAATTAAAAATAGCTTAAACAAATAATTCTGATGTGGAACTTTACAACAAAAAGACCATATGATTCTGATCATTAAAGTGTGCGAACCACGTTTCACTGCTGCTTAGTAATAGTGTACTCCCAGCTACAGGAAAGATATGCAACAGAAAAAAATGGCCTTTTGTACTAAACTGTAACCCTAAAGTCAAGTGTGCCTATAAAGGTGCAATCCCATAAAATTTCCACATACATACACAGAGCTAGGAAAGTACAATGCTGTACTTCTCTTGTATTGCAAAGGGCTTATTCGGATACTTAAAAATTTTTTTTTTTTTTTTTTTTTTTTTTTTT